TTTGATATCGTTGTAGTGTTCCTTTTGCATAAAGGCAATAAACGCGTGTGACTTCAACTTTAACAGTTCGTCGCTAAATTCTTCTAAAAAGTCATCGGTGTTTTTAACAATGGTTTCCATTGTGCACCTATCAACTGACACCCATTTTTTATATGTTATACTGTCGATAAGTTCTTCTTCAAATTTTTCTTCTAGAAAACCTTTAAGAGGGCCTATTCCAGGACATAGCTCACATTTATTTAAAAAACAGTCGACTGCCGGTGGATTACATATTATTTTGTAAAGAAAATCGCGATAATCCCTCCCTAAAGGTTTATTGTTATTGTCCAAAAATAAATTTAATTTTGACCCGCTGATCATCAACTTCATATTTTGGTGTAAAGTACACACACAAACTGTGTGGGTTCCGCTTCTTCCAGCTAGTATACAATTTTTTGGTCTAAGTTCACAAAATTTTGAAAATCCAATTTTTTCATCTGGATATTCCTTTTTAAACAACGCATAAACCTCACTTAAGTTGGCCAAAACTAATCTTTTTTGAATATGCTGCTTCTCCCCTTCTTTTTTAATGGCAACAAAATCTTTTTTTCCTGGCATTATCCGGCTTATGTCATCTTTTTGGTAAAATTCTACTATCTTTTGGGCCAAATTTTCATCAAGGACTTTTCCTGGTTTGGGGTTTGGGGTCACCAGAATTCCTTTTTCATTAACTATTTTTTTTACTTTACGGGCCATGTATTGCGATACACCAAATTCTTTTTGCATTTTAGCTCTTGTCCAACTCTGCGGCAGACAGGATAACACTAGAATTTTTTCACTTCTTTTGTTAGTTTTTGCAAACTTTTCTTTTAATTGTTTGATCATCTCACATTCATGTTCATAATTGTCCTCTTCTTGTAAACTTTGAGCTTGTTCTTTTAAAAATGTTGTTGAAATAATGTTTTTTACTTTTTTAACTTTTTCCTTTGACAACTTTTTCCTTTTAATTGGTGACACTCCTAGAAGTTCCAAAGATTCATTAAAAGAACTTAATGAATGTCTGTGCTGTATAAAATCTGTATTTTGTTCTTTCGTTAACGTTGATGGTCTAAAAGAAAAAAAACTTTTTATAAATTTTTTATTAATATCATCATAGAAAAAGTATATCATATAGGTATATCATTAGGTACTTTAGAGATAAAGTAATGTTTTAATTTAAAAAATAAATAGTAACTGTGGTTACTATTTATTTTTTAATTTAAATAGATTTTATCTACGCCAGTGAAATAAGAACTTCTTATCCCACTCATTTTGAGTGAGATAAGAAGTTCATTAACGCACGCGTTTTTCTCTGCTTTTAACCAATCAAATAAAAAAGTCAAAATGTCAAAATAACCCTAAATTAAGTCTTAGACAAAAATAATTACCGTTTATTTTTTCATTTAGAGGCGTAGATAAAAATTTGTACAATATACGTGTGATAACGCTTTATTAACGTACTTTTGCGATTGCCCAACTCGTGCTACGCACTCGTTGGGCAAATTTCGCATGCGTTCGTTAATAAAGCTCTTATCCCACTTATATCGTAAATAACTATTACTTACCCAGGTTGCACTTCAAAGGCCTTTAACTCTCTAGACACTTTTATCCTACAGTTATCACAAATTTTCATTTCCTTCTCAATTTTTTTAAAGTTTTTACACATCCATTCCGTTACAGTTCTTAAATTAGGGGAATGTTTTAATCTTAAATCCAAAGGATTACAACAATTACTCCAATTCCAATTACTTTGCTTCATTTTGTTAAAATAGGTTCAGTAAGCAAAAAAAAGATTTTTAGATTGTAACCAGTTAGTCAACAACTAAATTTGACATATGTCAAATTTATTTGTTGATTATTATGGCAACCATAGCAACTAAAGTCAAAGGCCACTTAATGTATGTTCTTATTTGTATAAAGTTTTAAATATAATATGAACATGACTTGTGGGTATCAAATTAGGGGTAATTTAACCTGAATTTAAAAAATGTTTATCAAATGATGAAAGATCATGGTGGGCTACAACAATGTATGTAGAGACCGTAGGGGAGAAATATATTTTTGCATTTAATTTAGATGTGTGCATTCACATTTTAATTTTTTTTAAGATTACAAGTGTCAATATTAAAATGTAATACATAGCTTATCACGATGTGCACAAAAATATATAACAAATATTTTTTATTTTTATTTAAGTTAACTATGCGGTTAATATGGCTTTGCTAATTTTTGAGGGAGTAACTAATTTTGTCCAGTTGGATTAGTATCCCAGCCCACCGTGCGGCTGCAAAAAAGTGAAAAAATCAAAGGTACAAAATCAAACTCATCAACTATTTGGAGTAAAATGACCCATAAATATTATTTTGTATGTTAGTGAGTTCCTTTATAATTTTTTTCACCATGAACCCGTTGAGTGTCCATCTTGAAATTTTGTACATAGCTTATCAAAATGTGCACAAAAAATATATATTTTTTTGAAAAAAATAAAAAAAGGTATTTTTGAGATATAAAAAAAAAATTTTTTTTCGAAATTAAAATTTTTTTTTTGAAAGAAATTTAGGTCATGTGATATATCAAAAAAAAGGTATCTAATAGGCCTTTAAAATAAGCCATCACTCACCTTCCTACTTTTAATAGTTTACGAGATATCGCTATTTTTGTAAGTACTTGCAAGACCCAAATCGGTAATTTTTTGATTTTCAAAAATCAATAAAACAAAAACCACCTATCGAAAAAAATTCAAATTTGGGATTTTTGAGTTTTTTAGTGAGGTAAACAAATTTACCAAAAATTATCAAAATCGGAGATGGTGAGGGAAAAACCTTTGGTTGATTTGATATGGACTGACCCTATACCCAAAATCCACCAGCTGCCAAACTGAAAAAGTTCCTAATTTTTTATGTGTAGGTACCTTTTATTTGTAAATGATTTTTAATTTTTATTAACATATAAATATGTTTTTTTATTTAAAGTTTGAATATATGTATATTATTTTTTATTAAAATATATTATTTTAGTTAGAATACCTACTTATTATTTTATTAGAATATTTTTTATTATTGTAACATGAGTGCAATCAATGCTGCCTACAATCCCAGGAAATCCATAGCGATAAAAAAATTAATGTTTTGAGGGGTGGAGGGAAAAACTATCCATCTTTGTAAAAGAATATTATTAATAACATTACACACCTCTGATATGCAACGACTAACTGATGATTGGCTCATTGTAAAATGAAGAGTAAGCTGGTAACCCCCATGTCCTAAAAATTTTAGTGTTCACAATATTTTTAGATGGGCAGGTATTCCAGTGTTTCTTAATTCATCATTCATATGTGGTAAAAGATTTTCGATAAGAAAATAAGTAGCTTCCTTGTTAAGTCTAAATAATTTTAAGAATGTAAATTGCGATTCATTATTCGTACCGCATTACTAAATCAAAAAAAAAAATAATAAAATACTCAGGGTTCTGGGGTAAGAAATAGTTTATGTAATTAATAGCAAAAAAGTTTAGTACTAATAATTTGTAAAGGAAATTATTCTTATAATGCACCTTTGAAAGTGTTTTTTATTTAAATCTAAATTATAACTCAAAAGTTATTTTTATCGCCTACTAATATACCTCTCGATATACATTTCTGAATAACCAGCGTTATATCGGCATCGGGTTAAATTTTAAACCAAATACAAAGTTACAGAATCGCTCTAGAGATTTTAACCAGTCGATATGATATAACCCAGGGTTATTTATAACTAGAAAGTTACAGAATAGACCCCAATCACTGTCATAAATAACGTTTTACTATTTTTTTTTATAAAATTTTACTTTGTTTCGGGTGTTACCATGGTTCTGTTTTGGGTGTTACAAATTAGTCTCATGCTCAGATATTAGTTAGTATTTTATATCATTACCACCATAACGTTACTTTTACCACAATCCACACAACAAGGTCTGTTCTATCTCATGCTAAAAATACTAAAAATCACTGCAACACTGCACAGAGTTTAACGGCGGCCATTTTTGTTGTTTACAATTCTTGTGCTTTGGGTTTGTGCTGTTTAATAATTGTTTTAAACGTTGTGTTTCTTACAGAGGCACTTGTAAGCCTCAAATAAGGCTTTTAAGTGCTAAGGACAACCATTTTACTCCTCTTTTATAATAAATATACCTTATTTTATCAGGGCTGTCAAATGACAATTTGAAGGTTAATTTGTGGGTTATAATTTAACCTTAAAATTGACATTTGACAGTTTTATGACAGCCCTGATAGAATAAAGTTTATTTTTTACAATAGAGGAGTAAAATGATTGTTCTTAGCACTTTAAGGACTCTTTTAAGGCTTACTATGAGAAACACAACGTTTAAAACGATTATTAATCTGTATAAACAGAGCACAAACCCAAAGCACAAAAATTGTAAACAACGAAAATGGCCGCCGTTAAACTGTGCAGTGTTGCAGTGATTTTTTGTTTTTTTAGTACGAGATAGAACAGACCTTGTTGTGTGGATTGTGACTTTTACTAAATATTATTATACTAATCAATCTGTAAGGTATAATAATAAAACAATTACAGGATTTTTCGTTTTGGGTGTTACAGTGGCTAAGTAACAAGAAAACACTTATAAAGTGATCATTATTATTATTTCGAGACTGTGACACAATCCACCAATATTATGATAAATAATCTTTAATCACGTGGCAAAACGGTTGATAGATTGACAGTTTTTTTGTTCGTATTTCCAATAGTTAGAGGCACAATGGTCCTTCAGCCAGTTCACTTGAGTACAGATTTTGACGACTAATTAATATTACGCGTTCCTTCTATTTTTTTTTGTCGCACGATATAATTTGGAATGTTTTCTTTCAAAATTCATCAGATTTAATGCGAAAAGAACAATTTTATTTTTTCACCCTTGGTAATGTTTTTTTACATCACAATGTCATAACCATTCACTGTTTGAATCAATTTGCTTTATTGCAGATTTATTCATAGGAACACAAGACCGGAACCGAACATACGATGCGCAGTTATGAACGGGCCGCGCATCCTTCAGAATCACGACCACAAAACGGAGGCGCGCCTGCGCAGCTACCCGAAGGTGCTCGTGTTCGTTGAAACGGCCTACTCGACGTTGGGCAAGGACATAGCCGAGCTCCTGGTGCACACCAGGATCAAGTACAAGGTCGAGGTTACCGGCAAAAGTTTGCCGGTGCTGACGAACTTGGACAAGGGCCGGTACGGCATCATCGTGTTCGAAAATTTCAACAAATACTTGCAGATGGACAATTGGAACAGGGAGTTGCTCGATAAATACTGCAGGGAGTATTTCGTGGGGATAATCGGATTTATAACTCCCGAGGAAGAGACGGTGGTCGGGTCGCAGCTAAAAGGATTCCCCCTATTTATACACACCAATTTAAAATTGAAGGTAAGGAAATGCGATTTATATTTTATGTCCATTAAGGTATTGCGTTTGGTCACAATTTATAAAAAAAAGCCTAAACTTTTAAATCTTGAAAATCATAAAAGTTTTAGAAAGAAAATACCGAGTCAATACATTTATGGAAAATCAATCAAACTTAAATACAGCAAGATCAAAACTGCACAATTTTAAAACAATTCTAAAATCAAATCAAATAATTTGGCAATGTTTATTCAGATTGGCTTTGCCCTATGGGGCCCATAGTATGGGTAATATAAAAAAATATTTTTACCACTGTGGGAGTAAAAAAACACTTATTTTAAATTACATTTTACATTTTTAAGGTTTGATAAATAAATTAGTAGGTATTTTATGCAAAGACCTTTTAATTATAGCTAATGGGTAAAAAAATAATGTTAATTTATATAATTAAAAAAACTTTTTTGTAGAAAGCCCAATGTATTTTCAATGAAAAGAAAAATATTAAGGTTCAGTCCTGACTATGGTTTTAAAATTTCCGGAAAAATTGAGCCGGCGAAAAAACTGTTTTTTTTTTTCTGGAAAAATTGGAAAATTTTCAGAAAAAGTGACTTTTTCATTTTATTCAAAGGGTAATACGAAAAAAAATGCCAAGTCAATTTTTTTTACGGATATCTGTATTATATTATATTATAATCAGTGTCGGAAATTCACTTTTCTATTAATATCCGTGTATGTAAATTACGCTAAAGGCAATTTTTCTTTTAATTAATATAATTAAAATATAATTAATATAAATAAAATTTTGAAATTTAACTTAACTCATTTATTATTTTGTAACTGCCAAAAAGACCCAACCAATAAGTCAATTCAATGTTTAGTAATATTTTTTTTCTGTAATAACATTATTTTAATTAAAAAAAAATATTCTTTAAGTTATTGATTGCTACTTTTTTTAAATGTGTATGTTTTCCATTTTAATTTGGGTATAAATAAAATTAATTTATGACCAGAAAACATTTTTGATAAAACCAGCCCCTACAAATATCGTAAATAATATTTTATATCTAGACCGCATTTTTCATATATGAAAATACAATTTTGTGATTTTTAATGCTACCTAAATAATGTTTTGATATAAAAAATGTCATTAAATTTGTTTTTTAAATTAGAGGTTCAAATTCAATTTGTTACAAAAAATATTGTTGCAAATTTACCCTAAAACTAAAAGTAAACAATTAATAAGCAGTTGAACTTTACGATTGTTGTTAAAATAAAGTAATAATTTGGTTTAAAAACCATCAGAAAGTTTAAGTTTTAATTGTTTGTTTTTAAGTTTGGGGAAGTTAAGCAAATAGTGTATAGAATGTACATTACAAATAAATTGTGCTTGTGCTTAGGGTTTTAAACTTTTTAACTAACTGTTTTTCCGATTCTATTTTTTTCCCAGACCTTGGTAAAATTGTCTTTTTGGGGAAAAATTTATTTTTTTCTAAAAATATAAAAAAGCAATCTTTCTTAGAGTAAAAAAAACGAACAAAGGTATTAACTACAATCAATAACTCAATTAAAATATTGGAAAAGTTAAAAATTTTGGATTGATTTATTTTCATCTCTTCCTTACTTATGCACTGAAACTTCGTGCTCTCCTGATACTTAAAACAAATCTTCGATGCAGTGTTTCATTTTAACTTTCAGGATGCAGCTTTAAACGCAGCTTCGCAAATATTAAGACTGACGAGGGCTGGTGAAACTGTTTGGGGCGAGTTACCTGGTAACGATTGGACGGTTTTTCAAGCCAACCATTCCACGTACGAACCCCTAGAATGGGCACACAGATACGATAATTACTCGCCTACTCAAAGTAAGTGTTAAATTTCTTTAATTAGCCGCAATTAAATGCTGTTTACACCAACGTAAATGTTGTTACTTTAAAATTGGATTTACATAATATGTCGAAGTACTTAAAATGTTTAGACAACTCTTGCATGGTTCGTTTTTCTAAGAAGGTGTACAATTTTTTAAGTTTTTTTTTATCCAGCTGTTCCTACTGGTGATACAGAAATCAAATAATCCATAATAAAATAAAAAGTGTAGTTTTTTATTGGAAACCTATTTTTAAAGTAATCTTTTTTCATAATTGGGATATAATGATATTTGTACAATTATACAGAAAGTTAAAGTTTTTTTTGAAAATATTTTAAAACGTATTAATTTAGAATAAAGAAATAAATTAATGCGTAATCTCAAATCGACCAGGCAAAAAGGTGTAGTTCGTTATTTTTAACGAATTTTTTTGTTTACTACATAGTAAAAAAATTACGTGAATTTTTTTTTAATTGTTTTTTCTAAAAAAGGCACAAAAAATTGAGGTCAAAATTTTGACATTGCCACATTTTTTTTTACTTCATATGTTTTTCGTTTGAAGTTGATAATATGAACAACTTTCACCAAAAGTCGCGAGTTGGATAAATTCGTCGTTTCGGAATTATTATTTTTTTAATGAAACTACTTTTTTCCAGTAAATTTGTGGTTCATCGCAAAAATTTGGTATTTTATCTAGGGTTGTGAAACTGGTGTGACCTTTATAAAGTGTAATTTAGAATTTTTTGACATATTTAATATATTTTAGTCACTTCCGGTTTCACCGGAAATGGTCTTAACTTTTTATTTTTTAATGAAACATCCTATGCATTTTTACATATTTCGATTGAAATAAAATTCTGAATATACAGGGTGTCCAACAATTAGTGCGACAAAATGAAGGTGTATTGTCTACAGACCCCCAGGAATTCCAGAAAATTGTTTAAAAATTTTTTCCTTCATTATTTAAAAAGATACAGGGGAGTCATGTTTTCTTTGTATGGCAACATTGCCTCATAACAAAGTAATAGTTTAATTTTTAATCATCATGACAACAAACAACAATGTTAACATGATGATTAAGAATTAAACTATCCCCTTTTTTTGAGGCAATGTTGCCATATAAAGAAAATATCGTCTGTAGATAATACACCTTCATTTTGTCGCACTAATTGTGGGACACCCTGTATACAAATGTCATTTGTCAATTTTGGACAGGTCAAATAATTTATTGATTAAATTTTATTTTTACATCTAGATTGCCTTGAATTGGATTTTTGCTTCATGTTGGGCCAAGTTCTCTGGAAAAATTACAATATTATTCTTTTTTTGCAATGCTGGTTTTTAGGAGCTTTCAAAAAAACCATACTTTATGCCAGAACTATTTTATTAATAAATGAGGGTGGTCATTGGTCATAAAAAAATCCACTTTTTTTAAATTTGATACCAAATATTAATGCATTTTTTAATAATATCACTTTTAATAATTAATAAATGAGGGTGGTCATTGGTCATAAAAAAAATCCACTTTTTTTAAATTTGATACCAAATATTAATGCATTTTTTAATAATATCACTTTTAAAATCTTAATTATATTTGAATATTTATTGGGTTTTAAAGTGTGTACAGAAGTAAATAAATTAAGAAGGCTTTGAAACCTTTGTGCTTAAAAGAAATATTAGATTTGACAGTTCGTTAGTTTGTTTTGCTGGTAAGTGAATATTAACATTTTATTTTACCATGAAAACATACGCTAAAACTTAATTGAGGTGGTTAGAATCAAAGGGGTATAAGTAATTGCTCAACATTTTTTTGTTTTAAAACTATTAAATAAAATTATTTAAATAATTTGAAACGATTATAAAAAGTTATATCTAACCGCCCCATAGTGGCCGTTGTAGGGAATCTCTGGCAATAAATAAAAATCCGAAATATGAAATCAAATAAAAGATTGTTATTTCTAAACATAATTAACCAGCGCATTAGTTTCTGGACCTCTTAGGCTTAATACCTATTTCCCTTCCTATTAGAGCCTCAGTTTCGCGACTGCCTCCCTGAAATCTGTTAACCGACCAAAATTTTTCGAAATTGCTTGTGTTCTACGTTTCTTCAAAATCGCGTTTTTATAAATTTCTTGAGCATTCGATTTATAACTTTTGTATGTAATTTCTAATTACTCAACAAACGAATTTAAAACAAAACAACGAATTTTAAACAAAAAAAACCTGCTTAAAATAAATCAGTATGTCCTTTGGTTTAGGCGGCGTAAGAACTCCTTTACCTACGGTGATCCAAGACCACGGACTCTACGACAACATACAGCGCGTCATATTCGGCTCGGGTTTAAAATTCTGGCTGCATAAGCTTCTGTTCTTGGACAGCCTTAGCTATTTGAGCCACGGCCAACTCAGCCTGTCCCTGGACCGAATGCTATTGGTCGACATCGACGACATCTTTGTCGGCGAAATCGGCACGCGCCTGCGTATGGAAGACGTTAAGGCGATGATCCACACGCAGGAGAGATTGGCGAGCATGGTGCCGAACTTTAAATTCAATCTGGGGTTCAGCGGAAAGTACTTTCACCACGGTAACAAAGAGGAGAACAAAGGCGACGATTTGATATTGCAGAACATAGACAAGTTCATGTGGTTCTCTCACATGTGGAACCACCAGCAACCGCACTTGTACGACAACCTGACGTTGCTTATCGACGACATGATGAACAACAAAAATTTCGCCAAGTCCAAAGGAATTCCGGTGGACTCCGGATACTCCATATCGCCGCATCATTCCGGTGTTTATCCGGTACACGAGCTTCTATACACTGCCTGGAAGAAAGTGTGGAATATACGGGTCACCTCAACTGAGGAGTATCCTCATTTAAGACCAGCCAGGTAAGACACTTTAGTTGTTGGTGGTCACAAATGATTTTTGCCTCCACAAAATTCTCATTCTATATTGTTTAAGTAGCACAACTGGTTAAATTAACGTTAAATTTACGTTATGTTTATGTAATATTGTGCTACAACGTATAATTAACGATGTTTTGTAATAAGTGGGGAATTCAATTATGGTAAAATTAATGTTATGTTTGTTAAATTTTACTTCTTCGTTAATGTACCTTTTGGTAAAAAATAAGGTGTTATTTGGTAGTTTAATTATTTTATAGTAAGTTGACAAAAGTCTATATTTTTTTAAAAATTATTCCTTTTAAGCTCCATTATCACACAAAACTCACAACGTATAGGTTTATATATAAAGCTGTATTGAGACTAATTTTTCTATGCAGGTAACAATGAAAACTGCAAAACCATCACTTTTTTAACCAGTTTATTAATTAACGTTAATTTAGCGAGTTAAAATATACTTGGTAAAATATAACTTGTTGTTTAAAAAATATATCCAAATTAACCAAAGCTGTGGTTAATTAACCAAAAATTTATATCAAAAGTTAAATTAAACCAAAGTATGTCTAGAAAAATAACTAGGCTTAACCATTTTCAAAGGTTAAATTCAGAAGTTTATATAACGTTATGTAACTTCTAAAATAACCTACTTTTTAACTTATAAGTAATATTACTATACCTTTAGGTAAATTAAGGTTATTTCAAGAGTTTAAATTGACTAAAAATAAACCAAGTAACTAGTTAGTAATATTACCAAATAAGTTTCTTTTATTAGATAAATTATACTAAAAAATAACCTTTGAATTTACCTTAAGGTTATAGCAACTGGTTGGTAAATTTAAAGGGTTATTTTTAAGTTCATAGTAACCTTAAAAAAATGTTAATGGTTGAATACAACTAATTGGTTTAAAAACAAGTTTACTTAGATTTTGGTTAATTTACTTAGAATGTTAATTATTTAACAAGTTCTGCTACTTGGGTAGTAGGGTGGAGTGAATTTTATTAAATTTATTAATTGATTTTTCCTATATTATTAATTGTTGACTAAAGGCGTAAAATGAATAAATATCGAAAAAATATTCCAATTTTTTAATATCTTGAGGTGGCGCATCAGTCTCGAAGTTTTTAAAATTCTAAAAAAATATTACTTTAATCAAAGTAATAAAAAAAGCATTATTTATAAATAAAAAATTTATTTTAGTAAAATTAACATGAAACGTAAACATATTTAATAGTAAATCATATTCTTTAAGTAACTTCAGGAGTGTTTATTGGTAGAAATCAGATCTTCTTTTTCGCGAAAATACTGACATTTGGTATAAAAATTTGGTAATTATTTTCTGACTTTAATTCTTGTTCTGATGAAACCATCTCTTGCTTCCGATCCACAAACCGAGTCTGAAGATTCAGTATACTGGTTATAACCAGTTTTACACAGCGTTCCACTGCTTGGGTGTGACACGGAAATTTTTGGAAGTATAGGAAATGGTCACCCGAAGAAATCATATCGGTAATTTCTGTCATCGTATTTCATAGTCATAGGTGGTTCAGTTACCTTTTCTGTCGCCCATTGAATTAACTCCTAAAAAGTATTTAGTTGTGGAAGCTTTAATTCCCGTAATCTCAAACATTTTGATTCTTTTCTCGCCTTTAATATTTTCGGCAATGCTAGTTTTCTGATCGATAGATATATTGTAGGTAACATAGCTAGTAATAGGTTTTCGGGATAAATATTAGCTATAGCTTACAAAGATCCAGGCAAGCTAGCACATTCCCTATGGCTGACGTGGGCTAATAGGATTATTCGTTTATATGTGGGGACAGCAAATCCATCGGAAAACCTAAAAGAATTGGCTACTTTTATCATGAAAGTGTATGCCCCAACGTGGTTTTACATCAACACCAAGCCTACGTGCAAACATGGTCCTATTCACATATTTAATATGACTAAAAGAGCATTACACCTCCAGAAAAACTTGAAGGCCTTATAACTATAGTTATAAAGAATATTCAGCGAAATATTTATCCCGAAAACCTATTACTTGCTATGTTACCTACAATATATATATCGATCAGAGAACTAGCATTGCCGAAAATATTAAAGGCGAGAAAAGAATCAAAATGTTCGAGATTACGGGAATTAAAGCTTCCACAACTAAATACTGAAGCATTACGTTTGTACCAGTTAATTCACTGGGCGACAGAAAAGGTGACTGAACCATGACTTTGAAATACGATGACAGAAATTACCGATATGATTTCTTCGGGTGACCATTTCCTATACTTCCAAAAATTCTGTGTCACACCCAAACAGTGGAACGCTGTGTAAAACTGGTTATAACCAGTATACTGAATCTTCAGTCTCGGTTTGTGGATCGGAAGCAAGAAATGGTTTCATCAGAACAAGAATTAAAGTCAGAAAATAATTACCAAATTTTGATACCAAATGTCAGTATTTTCGCGAAAAAGAAGATCTCATTTCTACCAATAAACACTCCTGAAGTTACTTAAAGCATATGATTTACTATTAAATATGTTTACGTTTCACGTTAATTTTACTAAAATAAACTTTTTATTTATAAATAATGCTATTTTTATTACTTTGATTAAAGTAATATTTTTTTAGAATTTTCAAAACTTCGAGACAGATGCGCCACCTCAAGATATTAAAAAATTAGAATATTTTTTCGATATTTATTCATTTTACGCCTTTAGTCAACAATTAATAATATAGGAAAAATCAATTAATAAATTTAAAAAAATTCACTCCACCCTATTGGGTAGTTGTTATAATTTTTTATAAAAAAACAACATAACTTTGTTGGACAAAAATATTTATTATTATTACTTTTATTCTACTAATTTTGTTATACTTTCTATACTACAATATTGCAAAAGGTTTCAATGTGTTTAATTTTTTACTGTATTAAACAATAAAACAACAAGCTTGGACGCGTTATCGACCCTTAGCAGGTGGACAGCGCGGTCCTAATTGGCTCGTGCCGAAATCTTTTAGGCACTCATTTAGTCATTTTTATTTTTTGTACTATACTTACTTAGCAATGGCGCCGACCAAATTTTTGTTAACGTTAAACGGACGTTATTGAAAATTAAGTTGATCAAAAATATTAAATTCAATGTTATTATTTTATATTAATAAAAGTCAAACAATCAGCACAGATTGTAAAAAAAGCATTTTTTTGTTTATTTGGGATTTTTTTTCTCAAGTTTTTCCCTTTGTATTTATTTAACTTTCGAATACGCGGACACCTCCCATAAGCAGACAACAATGTCAAAATTGTGAGCTTTTCACAAAAACATTTTTAATATAGCTAGTGTGATATACTCATACAGGGTGTCCCATAATTAAAGTGCAATACTTAAACAGCAGATTCTACGTACAAAAATAAGAAAAAATCCTATAAACACCAAGAAGATGCTTTTTATTTAATATCTTCAATACCTTTAAAGATAGAAACTTGAAATTTTAAGAATTGATCAAACTTTTTATTTATAACCAATAAGATGTAATAATAATTAAATTTTCCATGATGGGTGGGTCAGATAGATAAGAAGTATGTGTAAAACTTTAACTCTTTTTTACGTGTCTTGTCCCAGGATTTGATGTCAGATTATTTTATTTTGGAGGTTTACACACAAAAAAGTCCTTCGATAATATTTACCATTTTCGCTTAAAATCGATTTGAAAATTACCTTACACGGCATAAAAATTTGTAATGAAATCACAACTAGAAAAAAGATTCAGCTTACGTCATGTTTAGGATAAATTATTCAAGACAGTTGACATTTTATTACAATTTCTATCCTGAACGGTTTTGGAGATATTAAATAAAAACCACCATCAAACTGTTTTTTCAAAAAAAATGTAGATAATTTATTATGTAATATTTTGGCTTCAAAATTGTCCAAAATATTCTTCTTTTATTAGGTCAATTATTAAAATTATCTCTACTTTTATAAAATATTTCTTGCGTTTTTTTTATTTAATGTATAGCCCAATAAAAGAAGAATATATTTGACAATATTAATGCAAAAATAATTTATAATAAATTACCTACAATTTTTTTTATAAAACAGTTTAAAAAAAAACAAAATCGGACAGATTTTTTCTAAATTGACTTTTCAGACTAAGAAGAGGTTTTATACACAAAAACATTATGGTCCTTCCCCGACAAACGTGTGGGCTTTTCACGCATACCATGATGATTGATAGATATCCGGGTGGTAGAGAAAAATTGGACGAGTCCATACAGGGCGGCGAATTATTTCAGTCCATAGTATACAACCCAGTACGTACAAAAATCCCCAATTTGAATTTTAGGATAATTCGTGTTATTTTTAGGTGAACATATTCATGACTCACATGTCTAATTACGGGAACGATCGGTTAGGGTTGTACACGTTCGAGTCCGTAGTCAAATTCGTTCAATGCTGGACGAATATAAAATTAAAATCGGCACCCCCCTTGCAACTGGCTGAAACGTACTTCAAGTTGTACCCGGGAGAGTCCGATCCGATTTGGGGGAACCCCTGCGATGATGTGAGGCATCAAAAGATCTGGTCGCGGAATAAATCGTGCGACTCCCTGCCGAAATTTTTGGTGATCGGCCCGCAAAAAACTGGCACTACGGCCCTGTACACGTTCCTGGCCCTGCATCCGGCCATAGCCAGCAATCTTCCCAGCCCCGATACTTTTGAAGAGATTCAATTTTTCAACGCGCACAACTACCTCAGAGGTCTCGATTGGTACATGAACTTCTTTCCGACGGAAGTGAACTCGTCTGCTCGCTATTACTTCGAGAAAAGCGCCACCTATTTTGACGGTGAGCTGGTGCCAAAAAGGGTCCATGCTCTACTGCCTCACGCCAAATTGGTGACGATTTTATTCTCGCCCGCCAAAAGGGCCTACTCGTGGTACCAGCACACCAAAGCGCATGGAGATATTATCGCTAACAACTACAGTTTTCATCAGGTAAGTTTCTGTTCCCATTACTTCATTTAATAATGTTATTAATGCTTGTGGCGGCTCGTGGGTCTATAGAGTGAGGTTACATCCAAAGAACATAAGATATTCCTAGAATATTCCCCGAACATTGGAATATGCTTTAAAGATTCTCAGAATATATTCGTCAGATATTCTTAGAAAATTCCTTTGTGAATGTTCCAAGAATATTCGGAATATTTATAAAAAATATTCTTGGCATATTCGGGATATACCAGGAATATTCAAGCGATAATCAAATATCATATGCCTGGAACATTTTCTTAAGAATGTGCATAGCATGTTTTTAGAAGTTCTGAATATTTTTAGAATATTCTTGGAATATGATACAAAATTTCAAAGAAATATTCCCATACGAATGTTTTTTGGTTATAACTTGGAATAATGTATTATAAAAAATGTATTATTAAAAACCTAAATAAATTATTACAAGGAATATAAAATAAAATTCATTGTTATAAAAAAATCGGTGGAGTTTTCTAAAGTGTCCGACCGAAATTAGACCTTCTAATAGTCTGAAAACTATAGTTAAAACAAAAACATCATTAGTAGTCTATAGTAATATTCAATTGGTTTGTTTTTTTTAAATTTTAATTTAGGTAATCGGTAAAATTAAGAAAAGTACAAGTCACGGGCTTATACAACTTGTAACAAGTCCATTTTTTTATTTATCAATTTTTTGTTGTAAATTATCAATTTAAGAAAAAGATCGAACATAATTTAATCTAAATTAATACAAAACACCTGTTCTACACACACTGCAACACAATTCTAAAAAAGTGGATAAAACTCATAATTTAAAAAAAATCCAAACGAGGTTTTTCTACTATCCTGAAGGTACTCTCAAAAATTAAGATTTTTAAATTAATTTTTAACCTGAAGCCCGGCTACTTTTAATTAAAAAATTATAACAAATCCTAAAAAAGTGGAAAAAACTCATAATTTAAAAAAACATGTTTCTAACGAGGTTTCTTCTTACTTTTTTACTATCCTGAAGATTTTTAAATTAATTTTTAACCTGAGCCCTAACCACTTTTAATTAAAAAAATAGAACAAATCCTAAAAAGGTGGGAAAAACTCATAATTTAAAAAAAATTCAAACGAGTTTTTTTTTACTTTTTTACTATCATGAAGGCACTCCCAAAAATTCAGATTTTTAAATTAATTTTTAATCTAAGCCCCGACGACTATTATTTAAAAAAATTGGAACAAATCCTAAAAAAGTGGGAAAACATAATTTTTTAAATTTTTGTTGTTAAACAAGGTTTTTTCTTACTTTTTTAACTATCCTGAAGGTACTCCCAAAAATTCAGTTTTTTAAATTAATTTTTAACAACTTGTAACAAGTCCATTTTTTTATTATCAATTTTTTGTTGTAAATTATCAATTTAAGAAAAAGATGGAACATAATTTAATCTAAATTAATACAAAACACCTGTTCTACACACACTGCAACACAATCCTAAAAAAGTGGATAAAACTCATAATTTAAAAAAAAGTACTCTCAAAAATTCAGATTTATATTTATTTGTTACCTTTTTGAGGTGGTAACTGCAAGCGACACAGCTCCAAAACCGCTAAGAGATTTGAGAAACCGGTGCCTAAATCCGGGAAAATACGCTCAACATCTGGAACGGTGGTTGTCGTATTTTCCCGCGCAAAGCTTGCACATCATAGACGGCGAAGCGCTAAAAATCAACCCCGTAGAGGTGATGAACGACCTGCAGAAGTTCCTCAAAATCAGTCCCTTCTTCAACTACACGGAACACTTGAAGTTCGATTCGAAGAAGGGTTTCTTCTGTCAGGTGGTCAGCGGCGATCACACAAAGTGCTTGGGGAAAGGTAAGGGCAGGCAGTACCCGCCCATGGAGGAAAAGTCGCTGAAACTGTTGCAGAGGTACTACCTCAGCCACAACACGGCACTGGTGAAGCTTTTCAAGAAGATCGGCATCAAAAACGTACCGAAATGGCTCAAAGACGATTTATCTGATACCGCGACGTAGGATTTTTTCTCAGGTTTGTCGGGACATTCCACTATTACACCCAGAAAATAAAATAAAAATATTTTAATTACTTCAGCAGCCATTTTGCCACACCCAAAAAATCTATTTTTAACGAAATAAAATCGTGCAATTTTCAAATTTCTGCGATTTTAATAAAATTTAAAAAATTTCGAAACTTTATTTAGTTTCTTCATTGTGTTAAAATTTCAACGCAATCAAACAAAAATTGTCAAAATAGCCATAAAACCGCGCATGTCAAAAATTTAAACTTAAAATAAATTAAGAAATCCATTTTTAACTAAGGCTTTTTTTTTTCAAACCCCTACTTAATTTATAAATGTGTATAATTTTTTTCAGTTAAATTAGGACTCATACCTACATGACCAATGATCCTTGGTTAAAGTAGTTAATTAAAAAAATATATATACAAATTTGAAAAAAAAGTTTTTTTCTCAAAATCTCGAAAACAAAGGTGATTTAAGCAAAATGATGGGCATTTTTTGAATCAGCACCATTATTAACATTATTAATTTTAACAGGGGCTTAAACGCTCTTAAATTAACAAAAAAAATCCCGAAAATTACGCTTTGTGGTCGAAGTTTTTTATAAAAATAACATGGAAAAAACTACTAAAAGTTTTTTCTTAAAAACAACCCTCAGGTTCATGAGTATTTTTTTGTTAAAATTAATAATGTTAAATATGTAATTTATTTATTATTAAATTAGTTTAAAAATTAAAATTTTAGTGATAAGATCATGTTTAAATCAAATCAGGTTTGGTCTTAATTGATTTGATTTTATATAATCGCCTAAAAAAATGATTAATAAGGGAATGTCCCCCTAATTATTTAAAAATTATTTTTTAAGTTGTACAAACAAATTTTATATTTTAGTGTAAATATTTCGAGTACTTACGTTATTTGACTCTATTCCAAAATCGGTCCTGCTTAAACATATCGCTTTTAGCAATTATTTCCTAAAAAAGTGATTTTAATAAATATTTTACTAAATTTGTATACAATATTTAATAATTTACAGCAATATTTTTAATAATTTATGCACTTAATACATATCTATTTAAAATATGAACTACTAACTAAAAATATTATTAACACAGTTTATATGTTTGTTAAGAAATATTTTTGTGAAGTTTTCCAATATCTAAATGTAGTAAATTTTAGGTAATATCGCTGTTTTCCTATTTCTTCAAAAATGTAAACTGTATTACTAAAAGTATAAAATGCAATAGTTTCCTACGTCCAAATGAATTGAGCTTACTAGTATTTTAAATGTGTATACTTTTTCATAACATTGATGTCTTAAAATAAAATGTAATAAATAGTACAATTAATAAATGTTGTAAATGTACTGGGCTTTTAAATATTATCAAACTGTTTCAATAATTAAACAAACATATCCAATGACTGAGTGTATTTATAAGCTAAAAATGTTTTTACTTTCTGATTACCAGCCTAAAGTGTTAAACTTTAATTTTATTATCATTGTTTAATACTTTAAGCATCACTATAGTTTTTGTATATATGTAGGTAATTGTGCCATTTATGTAAATAATATTAAAAACAAACCATATGTAAATATCCAACTAATTGTGTTTTTAGTTATCTTTTTTATTTTTTTTTTAATCCATGAGGTCCAAGTTTAATTAACTTAAAGTTGTAACCTATTTCTGTACCAGTGCAAGATTTTTTAATTATTATTTACTATTTATGTATATAACATCACTGTAATAGTTGTTAAAAAGAAAATGACAATAAAAATACATAATAAAAACGATTTTGTTTATTTCAGTTAAATCTACATTCATAGAAAAAAATTTCTGTAATTAAAATAAAATCTTAAACAAATATTTGTTATTTTCAATTTATACTGCAGTATAAATGGGAAATGGAACCGGTTTTTAAATTAAACAAATTTACAATAAAATATTAAATCGAAAATTAATTGTTCTTTTTAATCATGAAACCATCTGCAGATTCGAAATTTAAATTTTTTTCTTGTAAAAATCCGGAAGTAAACATTTTAAATCAATTTTTTTTTAATAATTTTAATTTTAAAATATACCCCAAGTATCACAATTGCTTTTAATTAAACTCTGACTTCCAAACTTGGTTATATTAAAAATTTGTGGCATTTTTTCTTCTTATTTAAATGGTGAAAACAGAAAAACAATTGAACGTCGGGTTTCCGAAATATTCACAAAAATAACGTTTTTTAAATGGGACACCCTGTATATTTTTTATTAGGCACAAGCGAAGCTTGCGAGCGAGTGTTTAATAAAAAAACGAGTGTCTCGAAAAGTTTATAAAACTTTGTCTAAGACGACCAGAAATACGAATTTTCATTCATAAATATTGGACGAATTTAACCTCACTTTTTCTCAATTTATAATAAAGCTAACTTCAGCCTGTGACTAAAATGACCGAAAGCCACTATTGTTAAGTTCAGCCCGTGACTAAAACACCATAAAGTCACAGTTTGTCAATGTAGATAAAATAATTCAATTTAACAATTTTCAGTTTAAAAAAAAATTAAATTGTGTTTTTTTCTGAAAACAAAAAAAACTTGGTTGCGTAAAAAAATTAGTGGAATATAAAAGCCAAATCAAATTTTATATAACAAAGTGACTAGGTGCACGTTAGAGTGCCCGCAATTTATTTTTTACGGGCACGTTAGTGACGTCATAATAATAATCCGGTTTTGTTACCCGAACATATAATTTTTGTTGTCAAGCTAGATAGCGTAGATGGTAGGGCGTTTGCTCTGCATGCGAGAGGTCCCGGGTTCGATTCTCAGAAGTTGTCGAAATTTTTTTTATTTTTTTATTTCATAAATTTGTTGTTCCTTTGTTAAAAAGTGTTTTATTTTTATCGTAACATAAATTAGCCCATTGTAGTTGGGTTTTTTGCTCAATGGGGCGGGGGGGGGCCAATGGGGCGGGGTCGGTTGGGTTGTGTTGTTGAGTTTGGGTTGGTTTGGTTTTATTACGTAACTAACGTGCCCTTAACATGTATACAGGTACAATTTATTATTATATTATTGTTGTGCCGCCAATTTTAAATTAAGCGGCACGGCAGTGATGACGTTTTTTATCTATTACGTCACTAGCGTGCCCGTAAAAAATAAATTGCGGGCACTCTAACGTGCACCTAGTCACGGCGTTTATATAAATTGTCCAATAAATATGTTTTTTTTTCTATTGTTAGAATGTATAAAAAAACGTGAAAGTAATGAAAATTGTTCTTTAATTTAAGAAAACAAAACGAGAAGTGTTTAAAACAATAATATTATAGCAAATATATGGTTTTAAAGTTTTAATGACCCTTCTACCAAAACAATGATTGGCGCCTCTATTTAATTCACAAAACTATAGTTTCTATGAAAGGTTCTTCTAGTTTTGTGGTTTAATTTAAAAGTGCGATTTTTTCTTCTTCAATATAGGTATGTCTTTTATCTATGATCTGAAAACAGGATTTTAGACCTAACGTGCTTTTAAATTTGAGCTCGAACGAGTTTAGACCTTATGAGTTTAGACCTCACTTGTTGCTCCCAACAGGAATGGCCCATAGCTTAATTAAAAGCTATTTGGCCAGATTTGTTTTTAAGTTGGCAATTGTTGTCCAACATTCAGAAAGATAACCTCAAAATGTCGAGTTTTTTGACGTTTAATGTCAACGTTTTTAATCCGATTTTTTGCTGATAAAAAAGTTTAATTAAATGTTCGTTTAAAATGACAGAATCCAAAGGCAAGAAAATAGCATTTATACACCCCGACTTGGGTATAGGCGGCGCAGAAAGGCTGGTAATCGATTTGGCTGTGGCTCTCCAAAAGCAAAATCATGAAGTTTTATTTATTACGAACCATTTCGATAAAAACCATTCGTTCCCGGAGCTGCAAAATGGGCAGTTTCCTGTTAAAGTGATTGGTGACTGGTTGCCAAGAAGTATTTACGGTAAATTGCAAGCTTTATGCGCATATTTTCGTATGATATATCTGAGTGTTGTTTACGTATTGTTTATGAGGAAGAGTGATAAAGTGGACTTGTATTTTACCGATTTAATTCCCGCCGCGAATCCTGTGCTTAAGCTGGCAGGAGAGAAAGTTATTTATTATTGCCATCATCCTGATTTGCTGGCGAGTCCTCCAGGAGGAACACTTAAAAAGATTTACAGAAAACCATTGGATTGGTTTGAGGGTAAAGCCACGGGAATGGCGGATTGCATACTGGTTAATAGTAAATACACTCAGTCTGTATTTACAAACACATTCCCTAATATCATTCAAAAAACTCATATCTTATATCCAACAATTGCATCGTCGTTTAAAGATGCAACTAAGAAACTAAAACCAAAACCTATCGGGGATGTTATTCCGAAAATTTATTCGAAAAGTGGCGAACCTGTTGTGTTTCTATCAATAAACAGATTCCACCCAGCCAAAAAACTGGAATTAGCAATTCTTGCAATGGATGAAATAAGAAACATTACCACTCCAGAGGAATGGGATAGAATATTTCTCATTTTAGCTGGCGGTTTCGATCCTCAATCAGCAATTAATTCCAAAACTTTTGATCACCTCATGCATATCATAAAAGCAAAGGAATTAAAACAGAAAATTGTGTTACTCAAATCACCATCAGATTTAACAAAAGTGGAACTGCTTTTATCTTGCAGTTGTCTAGTTTACACCCCTGTGAATGAACATTTTGGTATAGTCCCTTGTGAAGCAATGTCTGTTTGTAAACCTGTTATAGCCTGTAATAGTGGTGGTCCGATGGAAACAGTCAAAGATAACATCACAGGGTATTTATGTGAACCCAATGGTAAAAGTTTGGCTGAATCAATGAAGAAAATCCTTTATGAAGATGTGAGAAAAATGGGAAAGTTGGGTTATGAACATTTTGAAGCAAACTTCTCAATAACCACCTTTGAACATACTTTAAATACAATTGTTGATGATACTGTAAATAAAAAATTTAACTAGTTGTAAGCTTAAAATTTATATTATTTTAAATATGTATGTTAGGGTCATTCCATACTTTTTTGACAAACCTTGAGAAAAATGATTGCACAATTTGGTATTTTTGTACAATCAAATGTTTTATTACAATAAAATATTTTATTATTAAACTGATTTATTTAGTCCATGACACTTTAGGTATATCAAAATGTTCCGTTAATCCATCTAAATGTTGATTAAACTTCTCAACTCTTTCCTTATGGGTCATGCAAGCTTTCTCCAAAATACGTTTGGTTTGCTAAAAAAAATTGTTTTAGTTTATTCATTTTGCTGCTGGTTGGGAAAAATTTAATCTACATACCATTTTTTCCTGCTGTTGTAAAAACGCCAGTTCTGCTTTAGTTTTAGTTTGTACCTTTTTGGGTTCCTGTTTTTCTTCCTCAATAGTTTTTGTTACTTGTTCCAGAAGTTTCTTACTTTTCTTTTTCTTCTTCTTTACTCCCGAATCGGACTTTAATGTTAATTTACTTTTTGCCGCCACTGCATAGGGATCATCGTCAGACATTTTTAAATATTTATTGCTTGATCATTGAGTAAAGAAGTTTTTACTCAATGGCTTGATATTATCAAAACAAAGAAGTGTCAATTTTTATAGGTTAACTTCACAGAACGACTTTCTACCAACCACAGATTATAAAGGTTACCAACTGAAAGTTCCAATAGATTTTGTTGGTTATCCTGTTTGTTTTCCTAATCAGCTGTTGAAATGTCATATTTCAGGTTAAAAATACTCAAAAAATCTATTTATATATAAATTTATAGAAAACTAAGGGTGATGATTCAAAATTACGATGAGTTTTATTATTAACGCCATTAAAAATATTTTACACAGGATGTTGCAATTAATATCATTCGGTAAGAAAACGATTGACAACACATTAAACATTTACATAAAAACGAGTACTGGAAACACGTTGACGGTCGGCTTGGAGCCCGAGTGGGAAATAAAAAACGTTAAGGAAATTGTGGCATCTCAACTCAGTTTGCATCCTGAGGAAATTAAGATTATTTTTGCTGGGAAAGAGTTGGGAGACAGCATAACCATTGCAGTAAGTTTTTGATGGAATAAACAGAAAAATATAGCAAGATCTATCATCAGAACTATTTCTACAGTATTATCTCTTAGGAATGTGATTTGGGACAACAGAGTATATTACATGCTGTTAAAGTGCAAAGAAAATCTCTACCAAAACTTGAAAATAGTCCTATAGTTGAGGAAGACGAAAACAGTAGGCCTCTATGTGAAACTTTGACTGATGTTATGTTTTCCAATGAAGAAAACAATGAACAAGTGGCAACAAATAGGGGTAAATGGAACTAAGAAATGGTCTATTATTTTTAACTGTATTTTAGGTGATGATGTACACAAGGTTCATTTTTATGTATTTTGCCCCACTTGTAAGGCTTTGAAGAGTGGAAAAATAAGGGTAAGGTGTCACTTTTGTAAAAGTGGGGCTTTTACAGTGCATTCTGATCCTCAAAATTGGAATGATGTTTTAGAATCCAAACAAATAACGGGTTTGTGTGAAAATGATCCAGAATTATGTGAAAAAGTAAGTAAGAATGAAGATAATGTATTTTACTCTAATAAAAAGAAATATTCAAAAGTTTTTAGTGTTTTAGTGAGTGAAAAATCATAAATAATAATTGTTTTAAGAAATAAGTATTTTAAGTCACAAAAATGTAGTTTTTACTTATTAATAAATTTTTAATTTAGATTTTGGATAATCGAGAGCCAACTTTTGCCGAATTTTATTTTAAATGCTCTGAACACACATCATTGGGTGAAGAGGATGCGGCAGTGCCTTTATATTTGATTCGTCCCAATTTAAGGGATGTTCCCTGCTTAGCTTGTGGTGATATTGGGTAAATACTAAATATAAATGATTTTTTGTCTTCATTTATATTCTTTAGAAATCCTGCTTTTGTATTTCCCTGTACTGAGGGCCATGTAACTTGTTTGGACTGTTTTCGACAATACAGTGTTACTAGGTTAAGAGAACGGCAATTTTGGCAGCATCCTGAATTTGGTTACACTTTGGCTTGTCCTGCCGGGTGTACTGACTCTTTTATAAAGGAGATTCATCATTTTAGGCTCTTAACTGATGATCAGGTAAGAGTTATAAAATATTTTAAATTATGACTGAATAATTTGGAAAATACATTAAAAAAGCGGGTATTTTGTTAATTTTGATTAAAATACTAACTAAATAATCTTGCAGTAAATAATATTGTATATTTAGTAAATACATGGTGTTATGTAATTAATGTAATATATTAAAATTAAAAGACTAAAAACAATTTATAATAACCATTATCCTACCAAAAAGTACGCCAATGATCGACTAGGAACTTTAGGCTAATCTGGTTGCCTAATTTAATTTATTATGATATGGTTGGTAACAACCAGCTTTTCCAGATTCTGTCAAAAAAGTTGCGAAATTTTAATTACAAAATCAACAATGCAAATTGTTAATTTGGTGTTTTTATTAATTGTTTATTATGTCATTTTTGTAATGAAGGTAAATTAAAACAAAATCTGGCAGCTTTTATGACAGAATCTAGTGCATTTCTTTCAAATTTTAGGTTATGTGCTCAAATTGTAAATATCTTAACTAAGGGAAGTGCTTTTGGATTTATTTACACAAATTGAATGCTTAAAGTTTAACCTGTGAACTTGTCCTAATTTCATCTGAGTAAACAGAAAGAAAAAACTGATGAAAAAATTAATTTTGTTGTTATGGAGTTTTTAAAATGGGTACTAAATTTTCATTGCTTAAGCTAATAGCTGGATGAGTAAATAAATACAGGAGGGTATTAGATCTTTAAAGCCGGATTTATAGTTCTAAAAAGTGTTGCCAATATAATAATATAATAAAATGTCTTCATAAATGTCTGCAATGTGATTGGCTGGAGTAGGAGTAGCAGCAAGAAAAGTTAAAACTTGGCCATCTCTTACACCAATGACCTTGGTTGCTACTGAACGCTACTCCAGCCATTCGGATTGCAGCGTTTATATTATTATATTGGCAACACTGGCTTACTGCTACTCCTACTTTTTGAAACTATAAATCCAGCTTAAGGGCATAAAACTTTTGTATTTATTGAGTTTTTATTTATTTTTTGCAAGAAAAATTTTTAGTGAGAATTTTTTGCAACTGGCCACGCGCAGCTACTTTGTTGGTTGGCATCCATGTACTCACAGAACGAAAGTGTGTAACCAGTGGCGTATCACAAAAAATTTAAAAAATTTCTAATGCATATTTTTTTTTTATCTTTGGGAAAATATTTTTCCTTTACACCTTATGTCAAAAGGTATTCAGTATTTTAATATAGTACATTAATTACATAACACTCTGTATAATATTATGTTGCCTTGAATTCGTACATATATTTTGTCGTTTAAAATGCAGTTGTCGGCGTTTTTTTAGAGGACTCAAATATAAAAATGTTCGATTTTAAGGTTATCTTTGTACAAGTTGTACAGTACAGCAATTATTTTTTGTTAATTTCTTAAAAATATCCAAACTTAAATATAAAGTTATCATTAGTTAATTCTGCACCAACAAATATAAGTACCAAATTGGATCCTTTGGAAAAACATGAAAATGTATTGGTTTAGTTTTTTAATTTTATTAAATTAAACACACAATAATTCACCATGATCACTTGGATAAAATACACACACTAACGTAACTATTTAAGCATATAAGCGTTGTGTTTCTTAATCAATGATATAAGGAATAATAAATCGAATCGAGTATACTAAACCAAAGTTTATTAGTGTTTCCTTGCAACGCAAAACACAAATAACGTGCGCAATTTAGCTGTGCAATTAAACAAAATTTGTCGAGTAATTTCTGCCTTCCTCTCTGTTGTGAAAACACTACTTATTTATTTAAAAATTATTTTTTAATTTTTCTCCATTTATTTCAATATTTTAATCGCTGAGAAAAAAACCCAAATCTCTACCTGACCTTTTTATAAATAAAGTTCTTTTTTTTATCTGGACTGCGGCAACGTTGCAAATTTAGGGCTTTGGTTGGTAAATACGGAACCAAAATTGGTTGCCTTGATTAAAACAAACTAAACAAGTTGAGTTGTCAAAATCCGTAGTTAAAAATGCAATTATTTTGGCTTTGGTGGTGCGTAGATGAGTAAAATCATATACGACTACGGCCTAGGAGATACAATGTATTCCTAGCGGATAATAATATTCGCTTTGAAAAGAATTTATATAAAAGAAATTTTATGTGAACACAAGTGAATTTTGTCCAATCATTGGACTCTAATGGTGAATGGGTATTTTGTTAAAGCCACTGGACGTTAAAACTTGTAGTGGCTTAATAATAATTATAATGTATATATTGCCCAGGACTATTAATGATCAGTAACTTGCAAATTAAAAGAAGAAAAAGTTTCGTGATTATTGCTTATTGCTTTTTCAAACCAAATGGATGCTATTTTTAGAGACAGGAAAATTAACTACTAGATTTTTTACAAAAAGGTTAAACCTAACAGCAAATATTTTTTGTTTTTTTTATATCCCCCTTATTTTTTAAAATTTCAAAAAATTTTGATCTGCTTAGCTGAAAATAATGTGTTATTTAATATTTGTAAACTATATAATAATTAACAAGTAAATTATCAATAATAAATATTACTGTCAATTTGACAGTGTCAGAGTCACAGATTATAAAGGTTATAAAGGTCAGAGTATTTAATTAAGGCCTTCAGCAGAAGTACCATTTTTTAAATACTAAAAATACATAATCAAACTGGTATAAGCTACTAACTTAATAAAAAAACACGAGTCCAAATAAAAAAATTAATGTATAACTTTAATTTTATTATTTCCAAACAAATATTTTTAGTACAATCAATATCAAAGGTTTGCAACAGAGGAATTTGTCTTAAGATCTGGTGGGGTATTGTGCCCTCAACCAGGATGTGGTATGGGCATATTGTTGGATGAAGGATGTGATAAAGTAGCATGTGTGAACGGTTGTGGGGTAAATACCAATTTTGTTTGTGGCAAAATTTACTAAACAGCTGTTTTAGTACGTGTTTTGCCGATTGTGCCTTCAAGGCTACCATATTGGGCCCTGTGATACTAGTGAAAATGATCAGGATAATTATACAGCAGATTGCTCATACAATGTAGACCCTGCTAAAGCTAAAGGTTCCAGATGGGATGAAGCTTCAAAAGTAACAATCAAAGTAATGACGAAACCTTGCCCAAAATGCAGAACTCCTACTGAAAGAGATGGTAAACATTTTAATAAATTACTGCATTTATTGTTATTATATTTTTCTCAGGAGGTTGTATGCACATGAAGTGTACAAGAGCTGGATGTGCCTTTGATTGGTGTTGGGTATGTCAGACCCCATGGACCAGGGAATGTATGGGAAGTCATTGGTTTGGCTAACAAGCAAAAATAATAATAAAACATCATTAGTACTTACGTCATTTTTATTCATTTTTCCTAAATTCATATCCCTGCA